TGTCATGCTTACTTACAATCACACATGTTACAACTGAATCATGAATCTAATTATTTACATTAAATTATAGGCTGACTTTCTGGGGAGAATAATACAGCTTATTCACTGTGGTAACTTCAAGCATCATTGTTTACATAGATCACAGGGTAAACATAATGTATCTGGAGCTGTGCAATACCATGGACTTGATTTGAAGCATTTTTTTTCTTCCAAAATATAAATTAATGGCTGCCATTATATTCCATCTTTTGTGGAATATTCAAATTAGTCTTTCCTTTATTGTTAGACATTTTGGTAGGGTTTCCCCCCCCCCCACCAATGCTTGCTTACCTATCTAAATACTGACTATCTATGCATGGAAAACTATCTGTACAGTAAACAATTTTCTTGTTTCATATTCATAGAAGGAACGTCAAGGAGGAGGTACATTTTCACATCTTCCACCTCAGCATGTAATGTTCACACCTTGATACAGATTGTTGGTGAGCCTACAGGCAGCGGTTGTTTTCTCCAAGTATTTCTCCTTTTTAAGTCATTTATTATAAGGGGAAAGGAAAGGATAAAAGGCAGACGGATATGTTCACTATTATATGTGACTCCCCATCTTAATTATTTTTACATAGATAGATAATGTACACAATTTATTCATTAGTTAACAGTAAAAAATAGGGTAAGGTAATTGGAATATGCTGTAGAGCACAAAGAAGCATGTGTGTAATTTTACATTTTATGTAATATCTAAACAATGGATAGACAATGAAAATTTACTAAATTTATAAAATTTAAACGTAATTGTTTCTACTCAAGGGGGAAAAAAAACCCCAAAACATATTTTATGGGTGGTTAGCAAAACTCTTAACATTTCCTGCTGGCTGGGGATGCTAACAGATGCTTGAATGAAATGTATCCTTTAAGTTTAATTACCTTGATAATTGCCATAACCGTTTAGTTGTTTTTCCTATTTAGATCTGTCCATACAGATAATATGCAATTAATGAGAATTAGCACTGCCAAATTGCTGGGAATGTGAGTTTTAAAAATACGATGCCTTATGGTCCAGATAAACTGTGGATGCATTCAACCAGTAATTATCTCTCTGTAACAAACTCTGATAGACACTACAGCATAGTTCTTCTTCAGGGCATTTCCAGTAGAGTAGGGCATTTGAACTTAGGGACAGAGAGGAATATTCACAGTGGAGGTGACCTCAGATGACTTACTGAGAAAACTTGGATGAAAAATCCTTTTTAAAACTTAACAATAAAATGAAAACAACAACAACAACAAAACAGTAAAATGTACTTTTTATGGTATATTGTGCCATGAATTTTGATACATCCATAGAGTCATGTAACAACCATCACATTCAAGATGCAGAGCATTTCCATCAAAGACAAAAACTGCCTTGTCCTACTCCCTTATTTTCAACCCCACTCCTACTCCCTGGCAACCACTGTCTCTAGTTTTGCCTTTTCCAGAACATTATATAAATGGAATCATATAGTATGTAGCCTTTTGCGTATGACTTTTTTCACTTAGCTTCATACATTCAAAATGCATGCATTTTGTTGCTCACACCAATGGAATGTTATTGATGAATAGTATTCCATTGTATGTATATATACCACAGTTCGTTTATCCACTCACCAGTTTGAAGACATATGGTTTGTTCACAGTTTTTGATATCTATCTATGAATAAAACCAACATAAATATTTGCATGTAGGTTTTTATGTGAACATACGTTTTCATTTCTCTTGGATAAATACCTAGAAGTGAAATTGCTGGGTCATTCTGTAAGTATATGTTTAATTTTATATGAAACTGCCAGACTGTTTTCCAAAGTGACTGTACATTTTGCATTCCCACTGGCACTTAGCAGAGTTTCATTGCTTTCCTGCCTCATCAAATCCTGCACCTTCACCAGTTTTTGGTTGTTTGGTTTTTATTTGTCCCCATACTAATAGGTATGTAGAGACTGTGTTTTTAATTTGGATTTCTCAAATAACAAATGATGTTGATGACTTCTGCCATTTAATTGAGGATATTTACATCATTTGGTTTAGTGTGATTATTGATAGGGTTGCATTTAAATCTATCATTTTACTGTTTTGTTTTTTATTTGTCCCATCTGTTTTTTGTTACCAGTTTTGTCCTTGTCTGCCTCTTTTGGATAAAGAGTCATCTTATGATTACATTTTATTTCCTTATTGTGGTTTTATGATAATTATTATTAACTCTGATTATTTTAGTGGTTTCTTTGGGTTTTATATTATAATCCTTAATTTATCAGAATCTACTTTCAAATGAATTTTACCATTTCACATTTAACATGAGAACGTTACAGTAGAATAATTTGATTTCTCCCATCCTACGTCTTGCGTTGTTGTTAGCATACGTTTTACTTGTACATATGCTAAAAACTCCATAATACAGTGTATTGTTTTTGTTTAAAGAGTCGATCTATTAAAGATATAAAAATAATTAGGCTTTAGGCTAAGGATTAAGGTTTTTTGTTTGTTTGGTTTTTGTTTGGTTTTGTTTGGTTTGGTAGTGTGGGTCTGCTGATGTGAATTCTTTCAACTTCTGTGTATCTAAAAATGTCTTTATAATGCCTTCATTTTGAAAAATCGTTTCTCTGGATATAGACATCTAGTTTGACAGATTTTTTTTTTTTTTTAAGTTCAGTTAGTTAAAAGTTTCTGGACTGTCTTCTACCATGAATTGATCCTAATTAGAATCTAGTACTATTGTTCCTTTGTTCTTGTGAAGATAATAAGACTTTTTTTCTCTGGCTGGTTTTAAGGTTGTCTTCTTACCACCAATTTTAAGTAGTTTGGTTTATGATGTGTCTTGTAATTTTCTTCACATCTCTTGTGTTTGATATTTGTTGACCTTCTTGGACCTGTAGGTTTATAGATTTCATCAAATTTCATCTGAAATCATAATTATTTTCTGAATATGTTTTTCCTTGTCCCTTCTCTCTCCTCTCCCTTTGGGGACTCTAATTTCAAGTCCGTTAGTCTGCTTGGGGTTATCCCACAGCTTATTGATGCTCTGTTAATTTTAAAATTTTATTTTCTCTCTGTATTTTATTTTGAATAGTTTCTGTTGCTATGTCTTCAAGTTCACTATTATTCTGCAATGTTTAATCTACTATTAATCCCATCCAAGGTATTTTTCATCTCAGACATTGTAGTTTTTACCTCTGGAAGTTGATTGAGATTCTTTTTATATCTCCCATGCCTCTATTTATCTATTTGGACATAAGGAATACAGTTACAATAATTCTTTTAATGTCCCCTGCTGAGTCTCACATCTGTTCTGGTTCTGGGTTCATTTCAATTGGTGACCCTCAGAATACATGATATCAAAATCGGAGTCATGACAGAGGAAGTAGACAGGCTTTTAACAATGTAAAATAAAGAAAATTAATTTTTCTTACAAATTTGGTGAAATTTAACTTTGGAGAGGTGTTGTAAACCTGCCTAAACTGTCTTGTAATGCTTGCAAAGACTTTGTAAACTGTGGAATATTAAATTCAGAAATATGCATTTATTATATTGCTGATTGAACATATTTTAATGGTAGTGGGGTTGTGAGCTTTACGTGTAGAAAAGAAATAACAACACACTTGCCTTGATATTACATTATAAATAAGTGAATAGGATAATTAAGACTGAGGTAATTTACCTATTATTAATAAGTCCAACGACACACTTGTTCTACTATCATAACTGAAAAATGAGGTGGATCGAGGAGATCCAGAATGGTGAAGGCATAGTCAGTGAATAAGGGGCATAGTGGGATAAATAAAAAATTGACATAAGCATATATATATATATATATATATATATATATATACACATTTGTTTAGAAAAGTGGTAAAATCATTCCTATACTTATTTCTTAATAAAGAAGGCAAGTCGATGATCTTTGATAACGTAACAAAAAGCTACTTTTGCTAACACCTAAAACTCTTATAAGATTGAAGTATTACCATTTTACATTTACTTTTATGCCTTTATGGAAGATACTGTAGTATTCTGTACCACTTTTTGTAATTAAAAATGAATGTCTATATTTTATTACTTTTAAACATATTAGCAGGTGTAGAAAATTGATTTATTTAAAAACTGAATAACTTAACCTAAAAATGCTGTTGAATATTTAAAAACTTGCTCAGTGATATCCTAACCAAACTAGAAGGAGCCTGGGAGCAATGTATATCTTGAACTAAAGCAATGCATTTGTCAAGTAAATGTGAGCTGTCAGCACCTGTGCAGTTGAATTGCCCCTTTTCCTTGACTAAGTTACTATTGCTCACACAGGAAATTTCCATTTATTTCTACCATTTTTTTCTTTAGCTCCTTTTCTGAACTTTAACCCTTTTTTTTTTCTTATCCTACTTGATTACCTTAAGGTTTTTAAAAAGGTTTTTAAGATTTTTAAAACTTTAACAGGAAGATAAAAACTAGACAAGATGCTTGATTCATCAGTGACTAGACTTTTTAGAAGTCTTCAAATGATAAATATACAATCTCTCCAAGATACAGGATTCTTTACTCATTATTATTTCTACTTTAGTAGGTAGAAAATGTGATTGATTAGATTATTAGAATATTTGTGTATGCAATTAAGCTCCATTCTTTAATAGTGGCTATCATAGTAGAAAAAAATGGCCCAGCCACTAAGCACTGAGTTCAGGCTTCAGCTATTTCACTATCCAAAAATATCTCTCATATAAAGTAAGTATCCCAATGAAGCATCAAGGAGAGAAGGAATTGAAACACAGAGAGTTTTTTCTTTCTTATAAATATTGTGTCTATTTCATCCCTGTGTAGCCAAATGAGATGAAATGGAAATGATGCTATAGGTTTGTCCCTGCATTTGGAAAACTAATTAATTACAGACATTGAATAGCCTAATGTTTATGAGGGAAAAAATAAACTTTGCTGCTTTTTGCTAATAGTTATTTCCTTTCTTTTTCTCTTTCGACAGACCACCACTTTGCATATACAATTTTGTACTTAAAGAAAGTGAAGAAGTATTTCTCAATCCAAGCATATGTACATCAAAGGAAGTATAAAATGTCTTCTGCCATCAAATATAAAAACTTGTTTGTGAATTAAAGAATTTGTAAATGGGAACAATGTATTTATTTAGAATGCATTGTTCAGTCTGAGATTTCTATATTTCTACTTCCTGCATAAATTTTTAAAATAAAAAATATAGAAAAATATTAAAATGCATATGCTAAAGCATTCTGAGTATATTTTTTTCTTTTTTAAAGATTTTTTTCTATTTTACTTGAGAGAGAGAGCACAAGCAGGGGGAGGGAGAGGAACAAGCAGACTCCATGCTGAGTTTGGAGCCAGATGTGGGGCTTGATCCCATGACCTGAAATCATGACCTGAACCAAAATTAAGTCAGATGCTCAACCAACTAAACCATCCAGATGCCTCACATTCTGAATATATTCTAAAAGATGTTTATTTCTGTTTACCTCAATTAAATATTTATTTAAATATTAATTTCCCTCAATTAAATATTTATCATTGAATATTTCCCTTAATTACTTATTATTAACAGATACTATGTTTTTTAGAGAAAAATAAATTGATTGCTTTAATACACTGTCTAAAGAGTATCATTCTCTACTTCTCAGACTGTAATAGTAAAATAAGTGAATATATATATATATATATATAATTTTAAGTTTGTCACTTGGATTAATGTAATCTTGTAAACATAGATATAACCTCTAGGGATCTATTTGGTGTTTAGTGCTCCATTTGATCTTTTTGGCATCGTAATTAATTTTGTTTCTATGGAGCACAATAACACATGGGTCTGTAATCCTTAAGGGCAATTCTTGGGTCCATTTACTGATGGTGTGAACTGAGTAGCTGAACTTATCTCACCATGTCTTAGTCATCTGAGAATTTTTGTGAACATTGAGTCAATATTTTGACTAATGTCTGCCCATAATGATAATAATAATACAAATACTGATAGCTAACACATGCATCACTGTCTTCCTACACATTCCTATAAGTTTAATAACATATATATCAATTCATTTAATCCTTACAAAAACCCTATGAGGTTGGCCTTGTTATTTCCACTGATGAAGAAATCGAGGGATTCCTGGGATTTGCTCTCTCTCACTGATGTCTGAATACTCCCAAGGTTTGTTTCATACGTTTCTAAACCAATCTGTTGACTACAGTCACAGTCTCTATACTTTTGAGTTCCTGCTTTATTAGTTTGCTGGGGCTTCCATAACAAAATACCACTGACAGGGTGGCTTAAACAACATAAATTTATTTTCTCATAGTTCTGGAGGCTGAAAGTCTAAGATCAAGGCATCACTAGGCCTGATTAATTCTGAGGGCTCTCTCCTTGACCTGCAGAGGCTGCCTTCTTGCTGTTTCCTCACATAGTCTTTCCTCTGTGCATGGTTATCTGCTTCATATGTCTGGATTTCCTCTTCCTATTAAGACACTGGTCAGATTGAGTAAGCCCCCCCTGCCCCCAATGGACTCATTTTAACTTAATCACTTCTTTAAAGATCCCTATCTCCAAATATAGTCACATTCTGAAGTACTGGGGGCTAGAGCTTTGGTATACGAATTTGGGAGGGCACAGTTCAGTACATAGCATCTGCCATGACTCATTAGCCTAATAAGCCTTTTGAACGTTAACTGGGGCCATTGTGTGAAGACCCTTGATATATTAGTTGTGTGTTCCAGGCAGAAACAAATAGAAGGCTTCTTACTTTTTGTCTAGGGATTTGATCATTGCAGCCTGCACCTTAGCTGTCTGGCAGTCCTTGAAAACAGCTCCATCAGTTTCTGTTTCAGCCCTTCACTCCGTAGGCCTCTGACTCAAGTCTGCAGAGATACCTGTTTTCTCCTCTCCTCTCTGTCAGGTTAGGCATTTGCTCACAGACTTCTCATATATATATTTTTAAGGTTTTATTTATTTATTCATGAGAGATACAGAGAGAGAGAGAGAGAGAGAGAGAGAGGCAGAGACATAGGCAGAGGGAGAAGCAGGCTCCCTGTGAGGAGCCCGATGTGGGACTGGATGCTGGGACTCTAGGATCATGCCCTGAGCCAAAGGCAGACGCTCAGTGGCTGAGCCACCCAGGTGTCCCAGACTGCCCATATTCTTAAACTACAAACGCTCATGTAACTTCATTTTTCTAATCCCCTCCAATTAATTTGCCAGATATCCCCAGCAACTTTTGAGTCTCAGTTTATGATATTAATGACATTTAAAATTAAATAAAATGCACTGTTCCACTGTGCATTTTTCCTGGTTGTTTACAGTCTCTGGGAAATAGAGGAAGTTATTTCATAATATATTAATGGATCCTGCAACCATCATAATAAAACTTCCTTGCCATAGGTGATAGACTCTCTCAAGGATAACTTGCAGATGTAAACTTACAAAATATTGTTAGGTTTCCATATTGCAATAACTTCTCCAGGATCCTAAATACCCCCCACCTTTTTTTTTTTTAAAGATAAAGGCAGATAAGGGAAGAAAGCTTTGATTCCTCTGACCTCAAGTTCATAGTCTTCAAGCAATATTTTTAATATATATATTTTTTAATTTGTGGAAATCATAGATCAAAAATAAAAGAGGAAAAGAACGCACCTTTTGGAGGATCATAGTGAAGCACAGGTTTCTAAGGCAATTATCGGGGACAACAAAAGGTACAAATAGACATTATGCACAAAATATATTATGCCAGGCTGCTTTGAAGACATGCTGTTCTGGAACAGATAGAAAAGAAAGCAGAAAGATGAGATGTTTAAATTCTTATCTTTTAGAATGCCTACTTGGCATGAATCACAGAATCAGTCTCAACTTTGTCTTTCAAAGTCCTCTCAACAACAGTTTGATTATTTTTAGGTTAATGTTGGATTTATAGAATTAAATACTATATTATTATGTTATTGATATGCCTTCTTTGTGTTTCCATGGAATAATAAACTTTATATTAAAAAAATAAATCACCAACAAAGCATACCTTTGTTCCCACAATGGTTGACTGAAATGACAAGGAAGTATAATCCTAGACCAACTTGATTTTGTTTGTTTTAATAAGCTATACATTAAAAAAAAACCCAAACTGCATCATTTATAGGCTGTAATACCATTATGATGTACTGGATAATTATTTAATTTATATGTATGTGTGGCCAAAATAGATAAAATAGACAAAATAGAATTTTTATATTCATAAAAGTGTTGTTATGGATCATAACATTTATGGACTATGTATTAATCTTTTTGACATTATAATATTAATAACAAATACATAACGCATACTTACTATAATCAGTCTGTGACAGATTGATTGATTCATTGATTCATAGTAAACTCTACTCTCAATGTAGGGCTTGAACTCACAATCCAGAGATCAACTCTTCCAACTGAGACAGCCAGGTGGCCCAACAGTCTGTGTTTTAAGTCCTTGATATGCACTATTTCATTTAGTACTTAACAATGCCCTATAAGTTAGGTACTTTTATTACCTTCAGTGACCAAAGGAAATAAAAGAGGAAAACAATACTTGAGAAATATGTTTGTTGTATGTTGCCTATTGAGTATATAATAAGCATTAGGTAAATGTTTGTGGATGAATAAGTGGATATTGAATAGGAAGTCAAATCCACTGGAAAAGAAGCATAAGACAAAAAGAAGCCCTGCTATTCAGAAACTGTGATGTGGTTGGTGAGTACCTACCAACTGCCAAGGAGCTTGCTGAATGTAACCATTTAAGCAAATCGCCAGACACATGTACTGGTTTTCTGGCATGTGCCTTTAGGATCTTCGTATAAAGACCCTATTAAAATTACCAAATACCTGAGTCCTGCCCCAAGACAATACAATCTGCTTCTCCAAGTGGCATAAACGACACTGTCAGAGAACATCAGTGGATGACTTTGGGGTTATGAAATGTAGGACTTCATAGCATGAATAACATTTTCATTCATAATTTCTTTTTTTCCCATGAACATGTGGTACATGAAAAAAGAAAGCAATATGGGAGGTGAACAGCTGGTTATGCAGATGGTGTTGAATTGAATTTGGATTTCTGTATCATGGCTTAAGTTTCTGGAATGCTCGGCTCTTGGCTAGGGGTAGAATTATTTCTCACAGGGACATAGAAGAATGTGTTTGCATGTAGGCTAGCAGTCATGATTAAAGTGTTTCAAATGGAACATAATATTGCAGAAAGTGTTTGAAGATTCAAAGCAACAGATCATTCACCCAGATTCTCTAGGACTCAGTTGAATCCTCCTCCAGCTTTCTTGTTTGATACCCATCGGCACCTTCCAGTTCTTAGCTCAGATTTGTCCTCACTTCTCACTTGGTCCTTTTCTTGACCTTTGCCATGGCTTACTTGTTACGTCTCCCCAAATCACTTCTTCCTGTGCTTTTGCCTTCTCTGTTTCTGTCTTCTCTTCACTTACGTGTCTATATCCATTACAAGGATGTGATCTTCCTGAGTAGGACATTTTGTATTATACATCTTTGTACTTTCAGGGCTTAGACAAATGCCTGGCTTATTTCAGTGGCTCCATAAATATTTGTTGAATGATAAATGCAAAATTAAATGAAGCAATAAGTTTCTTTTTTAGCTTAGTCAGGAAGAGTGGGCAGTGACCATTTGATTGCAGGCTATTTAGAAGAACAAAATGTTACAAGTCGTTCAGGTTAGAGATCACAGAGCTCTCACGGTATAGCAAATTTAAGATTAACTGTGTTGTGTTTTAAACTCTTTTCTAAAAATGTAGTAAACCCAGATTTTAACTTAAATTATGTTCATCAAAACAGAGTATTTAAGAATACTTTGCATTTAGAACTGAATTTAAAAAAATTCTTCCACATACATCATTAAAGCATTAAAATATTAACACATAGAAAAATGATAAAATACAGGTCTTTTAAAAACTCCCTGGGAAAAGAAACAATTTGAAGGTTAAAAAAAAGACAAAGTCTGCTGCAAGCATAGATTCTGAAATCACTGGACTTTTGTTAGTTGAACTTGCCATAAGTTGTCAAAGG